TGCTGGCTGATATGACACTGGAAACCCCTTATAGTGCTTAATACATTTCTTAATACACAATTAGAACATTTCTCCATATCCTCAGGCTGCAGCTCCCCCCCCCAAATACTTGGCAGTGAGTTTCATCTAGTTCCAAGGACACCTTTCTTTGTTGGATTGAGAATATTCAGAAAAAAATATCCCTCAAAGACCAGACTACCATTGCATTTTGGACCTGAACAAACCCAGACAGCTTTCATTCTCTTCTCAGTGTCAGCTATAAAGTCTGCAAGAATCTCAAAGCACTCTATTAGTGCAAGAAACCTTTACAGTAAGAGGTATCTGGGCAACAGGCTTAAACAGGAATTATATCTACAATGAGGGAGGTTTCTTAGGGGTGTAAATCAGCTTGCTCCAGGGCTGTCTTAAAGAACCCAAAGACAGTGAGTGAGCACAGTGCCTGAACGTATGCCATTCTTCACATGTGCAAAAGCCTAGTGAGGTCAGACTTAATGCATGTGCCAGATAGTCAGTTCATCATATACAACTGGACTCCGTGCACACACCATGCAGAGCTGCTCTGTGCATAAGCAGCGAGCCAAATTAGCTGGACTATCTGTGTGCACAGAGTAACTCCACAGCATGTACAAGGCAAGTCCGGTGCATCTGGAATTACACCCAGCACCCATCCATGGAATCCATCTCCCAGCCATCCCAGGGCAAATCTGCTTTGGGAACAGGCTTACATCAATGTCAGTTTGTTCCAACTGTCCTTCCACTGTTTTTCATTTGCTTCTCGTTGTTTTATAGCCCTTCTCACCTGTCGTCTTTGTTCTCTTCTGTTCCTTTTCTGCCTGCTCCATGGCACGGCAGGGAGATGCCATACCTCCCGAGCCACAGTGGAAATATCTGGAATTCTGCACAGCTTTTACAGTGCATTGAGCTCACCAACAAGGCTTTTTACCCGAAGAGTTGCACTTTTTCTGTCAGAAAGTCCAGCTGTGATATGTATCCAGTTCAGCCAAATGAGCTTCCTGACAGAGTGCATTCCACAAGCTAGCATTTGCTCACCCAAGGAAACCACCCTTCGCTAGGTACATGGAAGGGTTTTAATCCTGCTATCCCATGGCAGAGTGAGGTATTAGGTGATGGCCCTAATAAATGGTCTGATCTTTTTCAGAGCAAAAGGCACTAGAAAGTGAAAACTGCATTTTTATGGGGATAGTCCCAAGCCTCTTAAAAGAAAAGTTGTTGTTATTTAGGTTAATTGATAGCTAATTGCTTTGTCAAACACTGGGAGCTGGGCTAGATCCCTGGCCAGGAGCATTGGTAGTTAAGCTGGAGTTTGAGAACTTTTAACCAGGAATAAAATTCAAGTATTTCAATGCAACACCAGTGGAAGGGAAACTTGGTGCTCATGCTGCTGAAGGGGTTGCCACATTTGCTTTGCCTGTGAGGGATCAGCATGATGTGTTACTGTTACATCTGTAACGCTGTCTTAAATAATTAGCATACACTTTATACTTTACTTATAGAAACTAGCAACTATATTAGCAATATATAGCAGAATAGCAACTTTTATTTCCCTCAGTGACCTCCACAGAGGAGCCTTGCTGACAGTCCAAAGAAAGCAGCCCCAAACGCCTTTCTTCGGAAGCACTGTCCTCAGAAAATTAGACACAGAGGCCTTTGGAATGGTCTTCTTTCCAAATGTCTGCTGGTTTTATGGAGGCTAATGATGTAACTGAGAAGCAGTGTCTGCACTTTAGGTTGAATTCAGACATTTTCCATGCTAAAATAATTCCAGCTGCTTCATTTGCTTCCTTTTCCTGTAGATTCCTTTCCGATTGATGTATTTCATACTGACAGTTTTTACAGATACTGGCACCGGTCAAACAGAATTCCTGACCAAAATCCAAACAGGAATTTATTGTAAAATAGTATCTGCCTTTCCTCACCAGCTGCTGCTCATTTGGGGTAGCAGGGAAGGTGACTTTAAAATTGTATTTTAGTTACACAAAGTTAGTTTAGGGGGTTTTTTGCATTTTAGAATAACTGAAATGGAAATCCAGGTTAGCTGTCATGTATGGCCCATTCAGATGAGCAGAAGCAGGAGAAAAGGAGTGGATGCATGGGAGTGAATGAAGTGCAATGGAGCAGTCCGTCTCTACAAGGAACAGTAATGTGGGCACAGAGCCCCCAGATTACCTTGTCCTGGCTCTTCAGTGTAACAAGCAGTGTAACCCTGTGCTGTAGGGTATCAGAGAGAAAGGTCTTTTGGATCAGAAGCTGATGTTGCCTGGAGAGCAGCTCATGTTTAAGAAAAACTTAAAGGTTTGCTCAGGACTGGTAATAGAAGCTGCAGTGGCCTTAGAGACTTCTTCCACAGCTGCAAGAATATACTTCCTCCTGTCTGCCACTTAAAACCTGAAGTTTACATTAATAGTGGGATCATTACTTTTTTCATCTTCACTTATGCAGACAGTCCCAAAATTAGCCTTCACACTCTGAAGCAATCCAAGTACTTAATTTCTTTGGACAGTCAGTCTAGTGAGACTATTGTATTTTGCGTGTAATGGAATATAATGGTCCTGCTGTACGTGCACACACTTACAGCTTATGTCTTAAAGAAATACTGTAATATCTTTAAGAACAAATTATCATCATGGTTGTAGCCTTTTTTATGATGGCAAAAATCAATAGAGAAGGAAAATGTGCCATTTGTCTAAGCCAGTATTTTAACACATATGAAGATAACAGCAAATCTCATGCAGCAACAGAACTCTGCAAATTGATGGGATGCTTGTGAGTACAAATGCTGTAACAATTCCAGTCTATAGTAGCTGTGCAAGACCTATTCATGCTTACCACAGTGTATTAGAAGTACAGCAGTGCATTATCATGCTGAATCTTAAGCATGTGCAGGAGAAGAGAGAAATCCTTCCAGGATTGTCTTTTTGCAGCATGCTTGACCTTGTCTCCAATGTGAATTTGCACAGAGGATCCTGAGTGTATGGAATTCATTGCAGGTCAGGTTTGCAAAATGTCAGAACCAATAATCCTTTCGTTGACTCTGGAATTCAGACTCTTCCCTCATGTGTCCTTGGGAAATGAAGCTAAATCATTACTCTGGATTTGGGAGCAATATTTGGGTTTGAAATGTTTCCTGACTGTGATGCAGAATGATACAAGTGCCTCAGCAGTCTTGCATTCATGAAATTGTAGTGCTGCTTATCATCAAATTAGCAATACCCACTTCTCTTGCAAATGGGCTTCTTTATAGTCTAACTGGAAGGATGCGAGCACTGAAAAGTGGCCAGTAATACACTGTTATTTTCTGTGTTGACAGTTGAGAAAATAATGTTGTAGCATAGAAGTTTAGTTTGAATTGTTTATTGGACTAAAACCAGTTTAAAAAACAAGAAATACATCCAGCTGTTAGAAAAAAGATGTGTTGTTTGACGTGGATGAACTTTCATTCTGGGAACTATTTTGCAGGAATGGACTAATGCTTTTGCTTTTCTTTGTATACAAACATAGAACAAGTTGAACAATTAAGAACTGGATACTAGCCCATTTAAGTAAGATCACTGCATTTAGTTTTGCTGTTTGACCCCAGCAGCAGAGTGGTATGACTGAAAACATATCTGCCCTACACAAAATCAAAGTCTACTACACAAAAAACAGCGATGTCCTTTTCTAAAGCATCCCTGAAAAATACTTGTACATAATTTCTTGCTAAGATTGATCTCCACCAGGAAACATAAATAGTTGGCTATTACTTTAAATAGTAATCAGTTTTCATGACTGTCAGTTGAAACTCAACTTCACATAGGGTTTCATTGGACGGAAGGTGCAGGGAGGAATACAGTGAGCTGTGTTACATTATAGTGGCCTTAAGATGATAATTGGTATTATTAGGTGGTCACCTATGACACATAGCCCTGTTGCTTCCCTGGAGAAGCTGACCTTCCCTTGGAAGAAGTCTTCCTCACAGAATAGCCCCTGCAGAAATGCATTGAGAGACTCCACTTGGGCGCTCTCTTGACGATACTGCAGGTGATACTGTTTGAGAAGATCATATAAAAATGCCCAAAGGGACAGTCATTAAGCTTTTTGAGAAAATAATGGGAAATTGAGAAGTGCAAGACTAGTTCAGGGACAGGATTAGAGACGTGGTTTTACTCTCTGTAGCTTTCCTATGTAGCTTTAGGTTGATGTCACATAAAATCATATTTTTAAATGTATTTAGGGCTTAAAGATGCAGGTGAGTGTCTTTGATTAGAGTCCAAAGCTTCTAAAAAATGGCAGTTAAATAGCTCTACAGCTTTGAGGACCTGTATCTTGATTCTCCACTTGCACAGTGGATATAATTGTGGCTCTGCCATGGAGATGGCTACATAAGAGCCTGTGATGTGCCTGGGTACCTTAGTGATGATATCTTTACACAGCCCTGCAGGGAATAAGTTGTCTCCTTGCCTTATTTGCCTCAGTGCTAAATAATGCTCAGCCTGTGCTAGTGTGCAATGATGCATTGATATCAATGATTTTCAGCAGTTGAGTTTCAGGCCATGAGATTACTGACTTGTTTCCTTCACCAAGATGAGTAAGAGTAAGGAAGAAATTACGTGTTTGTGTGTGTCCTTGTTTATTTTCCCCCACTGTGAAGCATTAATTGGTGACTGAATGCCAAATTCCCCCATTTGTTCTTACAGGACTCACATAGGAACTAATTTCAAAAAGAAATTTTCATGATATGACAATATAAGGGATGACAAAGTCTGTGTGTGTGTGTAACAGTTTGAAATGCGGTCGGGTCCTGAGAACACTAATAAAACTCCGTCTTCTTTGGCAATAGGGGGTAGGCAAAATAATCTGTGATGTAATGGTCTGACTTGGTATTTACAGCTTGTGAGCCAGTGTTTAGCAACTCAGCAGTTTAGGATTACAGAATTATCAGCAGAGAGAAATATTGTTGCTTGAAATTGTGACATGGTTTTATAAACTTCCTTCTTTTACAGATTCGGTTAAACAGCAGAGGACTTATCTATTCTGTTGGTCTCCTGCTGGCATCTGTTTTTGTCACAGTATGTATATAGTCTTTTGTTCTTCATTACCAAAAGAGTGATTTTTATAGACGTTTTCTTCACCTGTTCCCTTCTCACCTCCAGCTGTAATAGTGGCTGCAGTCTATTGTTAAGGGATAGGAATGGTCACTCCTATTATAAACTTGCCAAGAGTGTAATCTGGCACTTTGCAGAAGCTATCACTGTCATAAAATGGCTCTCATATATAGATATTTTTCATGGGAGGAGTCTGAGAGATACATTAGTAATCATTAGTTATTTTTCATGCTAGAGTTGAACCAGCTCCCTTGATGTATGATGAGATCCATTCTCCTGTTGGACATGTAGACAAAACGCTGTACAGTTTATTCTGGCCCTCTATAGGAACCTTCTGAAATACAAAACCAACCAGAACAAATAGTGCCTCGACATGACACTGTTTCTATTGAAGTCAGTGCCTCACATTCCCCGACCGGTCCAGTCCAGCACAGCAGACTAGAAATGACAGGGAGAACAGAATTTATGTGACATATTCCAAATCTTGAGACCAGCTGCTATAGGGAGTCCACACCAACACAACTGCCACATACACAAGACTTCAGTCTTTTAATAGGTTTGTGTGGGAGCAAACTAAACAAAGTCAAGCACAGCCTTAGACTGTGTGGCTCTAGACTGAGATGCAGAAGGGCACATAAAGCATTTTGAGTGAAGAAAAAGGAATATGGCCTTTGAAAGTGTTTCTGATGGAATTAAATGGGATTATTCTTGCCAAAATGAAATTTGTTGCAGAAATTTAAGGCCCCTGGGCCAAGACTCAAGGTGATGTAAGTCAGAGTGGCTTCAATGACTGCAAGGGAGCTACTCTGATTTACTTCAGCTCAGTAAGGGGATGGTCATTTTCGTGGTCCTGTAATTGAGAAGGGGATTTGCCACTTTATTTGAAATGTGCCTGCTGTGGTGGTTTACTCTGTGTTTATTGTAGGTTTTTGGCGTCCACATGAACAAATGGAAACTGGATAAGAAGCTAGGGTGTGTGTGCCTTTCCCTTTACGGCATCTTCCTGTGTTTCTCCATCATGACAGAATTCAATGTTTTCACATTTGTGAACTTGCCGATGTGCAGAGATCACTAATGCAGGTGGCAGACTGTCGGGAGGATCTTCCTTCTTACCTGTGCAATACAAACCACGGCTGGCATCTCCTGAATGCGGTGCACCTCCAAGTCGTGATGTATATCCTGTTCACTGTTCATAAGACCTGTGGCCCCATCTAGGTCTGCCCTCTCCCTGACTCCCCCACAACCTGGAAAAATCCTGCATCGATGTGAAGATTATTTTTTTCAACATTCATGTGATTTCCTAGCTCAGTTTTTGAACAGTGTGACTGGGACTCTAGATGAACTGGCTGCTAACTGGCATCAAGCCAGGCAAAACTGGTCTGCTACAATTCCTTTTTTTTTAAGTTATTTGATGGAAGACTAATCTAATTTATGACTTAAGACTATTGCTACAATGCAGAAGAGGGTACATCATACAGGGGCTGATTTTCAAGGAGATTCATGGGAATTTTTTTGGTTTGTGGTTTTTTTTTTTCCTTGGTTTGTTTGGTTGGGGGGGGG